AAGAAGCTCGGACAGTTTTGTTGATTTCCATTCTTCAGCATTTGAACTATCAGCACTTTCTTTCTCGCCATGTGCTTTCTTGAATTTTATGTCATGTCTAGATTTCCATCGAGACAACCAACCTTCCGTAGCTTTAGTGTCATCGTGGCCCAGCTTTTTAGCGAGTTCTTCTGCTTTGCATTTTAACATTGGGCCGCTTACTCGCACAGATCATCCAGTAACAATGGCAAACCATTCATTAAGGGCCTCATCGACATCTGAGTCCTTGCCTTCACGCTTCCGTTTTTTGGAAGTTCCTCCTCGTCCTTCACATTGTGCCCATTGTTCTCGCAGCTCATTTCTCTTGTTTTATCAAGCGCGATATTGTAGTTTTTGCCAATCCGGTTATTTCCACCAACCGATGCTGACTAGTGTTTCGTGGTTGTTGCTTGCTCTTATCCAGGAAACCAATTTTCAGCTAACGTCAAGTCCCGTCGTGACGTTTGAAGTCTAGTAGTCTAGTCCCGTCGTGACGTGAAGTCTTTTTTTGACAAGGGAGACAAGACACGTGCACAGTTCACTGACTAAAGTGGTGTGAAGAAACCTTGGTGTTTCGGGTTCAAGATGTTGAGGTCAAGAGGGAGATAAAATGCTCGCCATTCAAAGCTTTGGCACTAAAATCATTCCAAAAAGGTGAAGAAATGGTAGCTTTCTCGTGTAAATTTTAATCATGATCGACAGGCGGGAATTCCTTTCAGCTGCAGGCGGACACTCTATTGTTCATGTCCTCGAAACTCGGAGACGCAGGTCAAAGAAAGGTTAAAAAAAATGATGCGCGTGTTCACCTCCCACCGGTTTTGCTTTTGTCATACACTTTAAGGAATTCCTGACCTTTGATAAAGCAATTTCCTGGGGAGCCGCAATTACAGATCCTCCCATATGTCGCATACCACGTGTATATCCGCTGTACGCACGCGGCCGACTTGTGGCTTCTGTTTCTTATTCGCTCTCACGTTTTTTGGTCCGATTAAACGGAATTTTGGTCCAAATAAGCGAATAATATTAGGCTTATGTACATAGGATTTGTTTCGGTTTTTTAGGATTTGGTCCGAAAAAGCGGCTGGTTCAAGTAACCGGATTCGACTGTATTAGCATTCTTTAGTAAAGAAGTGCTCTTGAGCGGTACTCGTAGAGATTCAAACATTGCTGTGAAGGAAGTGCATTTTTGCTTGTATTGGCAAAGAGGTGCTGTTTTCTTATTTACAGTTTTATCTCCTTATTTTCAAATCGACATGTTTTACATTTATCGTCACTAAACTCATTTGTCTGTTTAATGTAAGTTATGCGTCTTTTTCTTGGGGGAGGGATAGATTCTTTTCATTGGAAATGTTGGATTTTCATCTTTATCTTTCATGAAATATTTGTAAAATATTAGATAATGTAGTAAGTTTCTAATTATCCGTAGTCGAAGTACTTTGTTCATTTAATATTAATTGTTGTTAATTTGTATGTTTGTTTTTTTATTTTTGTTTATTTATTGTTTTGTATATTTAATTTATATGTTTGTTTTTTGTATTTTGTACTACTAATAAGTTGCGAGTCATTTTCAATGCTTCAGCTAAAACATCATCGGGACTTTCATTAAATGTCCTTTTGATGGTTGGGCCAAGAGTTCAGCAAGAGCTACGTAGGTTATTCGGAAGGTAAGGTCCGAGTCTTACAAAACAAACCATCACAGATTTTTTTTTTATTTAATTTTTTACGTTTCTGATAGTTTCTACATAGTTTCCATATTTGTTTAAGCATTTGTCATAACGTTCTACAAGCTTTTGTATGCGTAAGTTATAGACGTCTGCACCTGTGAGGATAACCAGTCTTGAACTGCTTTTACCTCGTCATCTGTGGCGAAGCGCTTGCCGCTGAGAAACGACTATAGGTAGCGTAACAAGTGAAAATCACTCGGTGGCAAGTCTGGACTGTACAGTGGGTTGTCAATCTGCTCCTATCCAAAGATCTGATTAGATTCTGGATTTTGGGTCTGGCATTCTCATGTAGCAACAAAAGTCTAGACGTCAAAAGGCTACATCGCGTATTCTGTATTGCACGTCTAATTTTAGTCGGGGTAGCGCAGAAAGCCGCTGCATTTATTGTTGTCCCTTGCTGCATAAACTCAACTAACCCGATTCCATGTCTGTCCCAAAACACGGTTGTCATAACCTTGCATGTAACAGACTTCAGTATTGGCACATAGCCAACTCGTAATATTTGTTTCATTAATTAAAAATGAAAAATATTTGTAGTTCAATGAATTTATGGTGATGTTACTAGAGTTTGGTTTCAAAGTATGAAAACTTCCTGAGAAACATATTTTGAAATTAAGTATTTCGATCAATTTTTGTCGTATAAAAGCCAAACATTTTGTGTTTTAATTTTTATAATGAGTTAATTTTTCTGAATTTAAATGTAGGGACCGGTAGCACGTATAAAAATTTAGCTCTCCTAATTATTGCAAAACTGTTTTCTTTAAATTAAAAAATCTGATGTGTACACCACATGACTTCCTTGTACGGAATATAAAATTATACGCATTTTTCTTGCATTTCATTTAAACTTATTGGATTGAATTAAGTCTACTTCGCCGACAGCGCACAAACCACAATAGAATAAATGCATTCTTTAAAATTCACTCTAGTATTTGTTTACCATAGCGACGTTCTGGCGCTAGATTCACTTAAAAATTATTACTGTAACTAAATTTGTATTACTGTTAGTTTGCGCGCAGTGCTTCAGTACAAATTTTAAAGTTTCGGAAAATACAGTTAGTTTTTTCTTTATAAAACAAATTCTTATACACTATTAAGTAAAATAAATCAAGAAAGATAATCATCTATGTATAAAGATGACACACTGAAAATTTCATATATGTATGTCAAAAACAATTTGACTTATTAAAACTCGAAAATCAGCTGAAATTCTCACTTTTTGTGTTGCGCAAAACTGATGACTCCCCTTCAGTATTATATTTCGTTCACATTATAACTCATAATGCACAAAATTTATATCATTTAAAGAACATAATTATCTAATCGTTGCCACATGTTCTATTCCAAATAAACTATAATAAAGCTAAGAATGATGTATAAAAGAAATTAAGCAAGCAAAACAAAACAAAACAAGACAACTAAAAAAAAAAAGAGAGAGAGAAACAGTTTTTTCACAGATGATTGAGTATTTCTCATTTAATTAATTTCAGTTCTCCTTCGCGAGAAGGCAAAAATACATAAAAACTCAAAATATCTATATTAAAAATTACGAAGTAAATCTTAAACACTTATTTCCCTTGAAAAAATTCCAGAAAGAATTAAGCATGGATTTAATTGGCAATAATAAATGAATGCCGTTATCTTTGTTTGTTGCGAAGCTAAGTTTCTCTAGATTGGCAAGAAAATCCACTAGTCTCCTGTTTCAAATGTAAACATCAATGGCCGCCATTAAAAACAGGCTTAGCGGCAATTAAACAACTTTCAAATTGCTGATAATTCTAAAAATATTGCACACAGATTTACTAAAGGCATAAAATCCTTAACCGGAAGATAAAAACAACATAATTCAATCATTTTTAAAGCAAAAAATGTACAATTTACAAACATATAAGAGTAAAGAAACTGAGATTACTGACCCGGGTAACAGAGTGGATATATATATAAATATATTTATATACGTTTGGTGCAGCCGATTGCAACCAAAATACGAGGTGCACATCTACATGTTATAGCAGTCCTATATACAAAATTTCAACGTTCTGAGGCTACTCGTTTTTGAGTTATGCGAGATACGTACGTACGTACGTTCGTACAGACGCCACGAAAAATTCTCTTCAGAATTAATTTTAAAGCAGTTTTATAATTTTTTGAAGGAAAAGAGTATTTTATTCTGTCCTTACGTACAAATATCACGCAAAATCATCGTTAAATTGCATTCGATAGCGGTCAAAATGGATATTTTCGTTTAAATATGCTGCCTGAAACTTTTCGCGATTACAATACTTCCTTTTTACTTCGTACAAGGAAGTAAAAAATGCCGAAATATGAATATTTGTGTTATTTAAAACATTTCTGTAACGACAGTTGTGAAAATAAGAGCCGGTTAAAGTATTTGTGGACACGGTGTATGTATCATTTACAAAGGTAATGAAAAACAGCTTCATATCCCGTTTCTAATTCCTTGTTATTTTCGCTGTACTGTTCATGTTTTTTAGCAATGTTTTATTCAGCGTCTTTGTAAATCAGTTAATCCTTTTAAACTGCATTTTCAGTTGTATTAATCTGACGGAAGTAGCTTCATATTCCTTGTTTTCATAGGATTATTGATGTTTCTGTAAAGCTCTTTCTGCTTTCTGCAGTTCAAAAACATTAGTAAAACAAAAACTGATTATTGAAATATTGCTATATCAAAATGTTTCTTTTGACATGAGCTGATTTTGGAAAGATGAAAGAAATGCTTAGGAGCTGTATAATGAGAACAAATACGATGATTTTAATAGGCCCAAACTCAAAACAGTTCATAAAATGATACTACATTCCTTATTTGTAGAAATGCTTTTAGGCATGTATGGTGTAATTTTTCCTCATATCTTTTGAAACTGAGTTTTGATCTTGGTGAGTAGTTTCAAATAAGAGAGATTACATATCCGTAACTGTTTTATGTCTTTAGCCTGGGAAATATGCTGCTACTTAAAACGTGATTGGAAACTACAGATATTCCTGGTATCTTTTCTGAATAATGATAAACTTCTTTACTTCATTCTTTCAATAGCTAGTGTAATAGTTACCTTTTTGCTAGAACTACTGCAAAATCAAATTTTAAACAGGAAATCTGTTATTTTTATAAAAACAAATTTTCTAGCTTTTTTTTTATTTTTAGTGTATGAGGAATTTCAATAGCAAAAGAAATATTGTTATTTTGTCTTTTAATTATTTACATCTTTCCAGCGATTTATAATCAACAAACATTTATTTCAGAGAAGTTCATCTGCAAAAACATTTTCACCATATGTTGTTCCGTTACGTAATGGATCATCGAAACACCAAACATGGCATACACTACATCAGTTTGTACATTCAGGCAAAAGAAAAAAGAAATGCAAAAGAAAGAAAATTTTTAACAACACAGTTGATAGCAAGGCAATAAAAGTATGTCATTCTGAATTAAATTTTCATTTGTTATAATGAATTAAATAAATTTGGTTATTTTAAGTTATAATAAATTGGACTACATATATTTGCTTTTTATTTCTAAAGCAAATATATGTATTTGCAAACTATTTTATTTAAATATTGTAATATTAAATTATATTCCATCTATTTAAACCATGTTTTATCTATTTAAATTTCTATTATTTACTCTATTAAAACCATATTTTTAATTTTTGTTTTTCAATAAATGAGTTTCTCATTTGATTCAGATTTAATTATTAAACTGTAAAAAATAATTTTCTTGCATAAAGAAATAATTGTTAAAATGAGGTGTTTTTTTTATTCATATTGTAATGCATTTCAAAATTATTTCTTTTTATTAACATTTAAAAGAAATCATTGGAGTGTATTGTGTTCCCTTTTGTTTTGCTTAGGCCTTTGACCAATAGAATGCCAGTGTTATTATGTCATTTGTTACTATGTATACTTGTTGTCATTTGTTACCGTATATGCTCAATAATCTAGGGCTTGTGTAGGCCTTAGATTATTGAGCTGATTATAGATATCTTTAAGAGATAGAGAAGTCTTTCTTCCTTAAGAGAAATATTTGTGGTGTAATTATATTAAAACGCTTACAAGAACTGCTAGCAAGTACAATGCAATGAATTTGTTGTGAAGATTATGATTCTTTTGTCAATAATTCTGACTATAAAGAACTTCTGAAAATTATCTTCATTGGGTGTTACTTAAAACTTATCTGTTGTCACTTGTGTAACTGAGATCCTTAAAAACCTGAAAACAACTTTCAGAAACTTTATTGCATTTATTATTTATTGTAAACACTAGCCTTTGTTATTTGATCATCAAATTGTTGGTTTCTTTTTAGAAAAATTTGCTCTAACATATTTATTTCCCACTGTTATTATACATATACCACATTTTTTTGCTCATAACTTTAAAACACATTAAAATATATTTTACATTGCATCAGAGTGCATTAGTCAGTGGAACTGCTATAAATTAATTATAGTTGCCATCATATGTATGTTTAATAAGTATATATAACTTACAATCAGGTTAAAATAATACACTGAGTATGCTTATTGGAGAAGTCCAACAACAAGAATCAGCATAATATTTGTAAATTTTGCACAGCTAGTTTTGATGCTTTAACTACAGAAACAACTTTCTCGGCTGCCTAAGTGCAAATGAAGGACATAAAATATGGTGATAAGATAAGATAACAATGGTAGACAGAAGTTAAGCTACTGGCCCCATCTATTGGTGAAGCAAGAAAACTAAAACATAATTTCCTTAAAGGCTGAAGGTAAAGATGGATTGAAATTAGGGTAATTAACTGGAAGAAAAAGATTTTTTTTTAATGTGAAATGCCTCTAGAAACTCTATTTCACCAATGGAAGCTTTTTTTAATAATTTTAATTTCTGAAAATTGGAAAGTTTAATTTTCGGGCCAACATTGCTGGGCAACAGATTATTTTTGTGTTTCCTTTCAACTAACATATGCATCATGTTCATTTCCTGTAAACATTTTATCCATACTGTTAGCATTTCAGTTTGCACTAGTGAATTCTTGCATCCAATGTAATGCTAGTTGCCTCTGAAGTAACTCTCTGCTCAGTGTTTCCTGTGGAGAAAATTTACTCTGTTAATTCATATAAATGCATTGTGAAATGTGGTTGTTTCTGCTTGAAAATACTTGAATTTCTGTTTGTGGTTGTTTCTGTTTGCTTTTGATTTCGTTTAATCTGTTTGTGGTTGTTTCTGTTTGCCTTTGATTCGTTTAGTCTGAAGTTCTCTTTATGGAAAACTTGACGATTTCATAGAGTAATGAAGCTTGCACCTAAGCTTCCTTCCAGTTTTACCTTCATTACTATATCATTCTGTTAACTTTTGGATTCAAAAGGATCTTTACACAATTTAACTCTCTGACTTTAATCTGGGTGTATGCTTAGCTTTTGAATCTCCTTTCCAATTTTCATAGTTATCTGTATTCTCCATAGTAGGAAAGTCTACAATTTTAATCCCAAGAAAAATCTTTGTGCTCTTCCATAATCAGGTAATTTATCTCAATTCCACTTCCTTTTCTAAATTTAGTGGAATATATAGATCTTTCAGTTTGCAACAGTTTAGTGAGAACCTCGCTGTTCCAGCACGATTTCGTCAGACGGGAACTCTATGTAATATTAACATTACAATTACTCTAAAATATAATTCTTTGAGCCGTCTTCCAATTTATAATCATGAGTTTTTTCAAATTATTAGTTCATTTATTATGTTGGTCACTTACCTTTAGATGGTAAGCCCGTAAGAGTTCCTGCCTATGTCAAAGCTCAGATATGAAAGTGTGTCTATACTTGAAATCTAACGTTCCCTTTGTTGCAAACTTGTGTTCATCATAAGACTTAATTATTTTTAGGAAAAAATATTGTGTTTATTTTCTTTTTTTTAAACTAAAACGTGTAGTTCAATTTATGGATGAATGTGGAAAGCTTTTTTTGTCCTTCTTTCTATTTTATTTTGGTGTCTGCTAGAGCTTAATTTCTAGAATTAGATGTACTGGAGCTTTATGAAAGGCCGTCAGGAAAAATTAACAAAAATAAATAAATAAAATAACTTAGGAAATAATTAATAATTAAATAAAATATGGAAAATTAATAAAAATTATTAAACTAATAAGTTGTTAAGTAAGTAAGTGTAACACTATACCTCTGTAAAAGCCAAGGCTGTATGTGTCGCCCTGGAATCCTTATGGCCTGTCCCAGTAGCCATGTCTCTTTCTATTGTTATGTGGCGATGCGATGCGTGAAATCCTGACATGAAATATAGCTATCGAACCCAATAATGGGAGTATCCAGCAAAGTGTTCCAGACAGCACTCATTATAGTGCAATGCATGGAATTGAAGCCATGACAAAGTAGACCCAAAATGACTCATCAGTTATCGTTTCAAAGTGTTTCACCTATTATCCATGCATGCAGTAGTTCTCAATATCCTCCCAAACTAATAACAATGTCAAAATGTTACATTATTTAGGAATAGGGTATTAAAATCTGTGTCTTTGAGATAATTTGATAATCAGCTAAATGATGGCCTGAGACAACTTACAAAAAAATAAAACACACCATAACTAAAATAGATGTGTTTTGTCATCATGTCATGTTCGATCAGCACGCGACTGTCCTCGTGTCCTTCGAATTCTTGAAAATTTAAACTTGATGACTTGAAAGTTTAAAGTATTTATTTTGTTGTTTTACTTCAAAGTTGTTTGTTGTGTCCAATGACAACCATCTATCGTACTGTACATTTTTAGTTCTTAATATGAATATGATTGCTGAGTTAATATTTAGTTTATTTTTAGATTAAGCCTTATTAATAAATGAAATAAACAAATGCAGTCTTACGAACTTTTTTAAAGAAAAAAAATGTTGACTATTCTGCTTCCGCTGATGTTAGTTCCAGCATAGTAAGTAACTGATAAAATTTGTATTCATGTAGGACACCACACATTCGTGCCTGCACCTAAAAATTTTTCAAAATGTGTAGCTTGAACTAGTTTAACTTCTTATGTTATTCAAGTTTTGGATGTAAAATCTGACGAACGACGATAATCGTCATTTGTATAGATATATTCAACAAAATTTACTTTATTAGAGTATGTTTACATAGATATGCATATAAGCATGTATTTAATAAAAATCATTGAAACAAAAACATCCACAAAAGCTTAATGAAAATTAATACAAAATTTTCCAAGTTTTTTGAAAAACAAAAGATTTGTCGAGTTTTGGGAAAATAATTTTTCTTTGCATTGTCTTTTTTAGCATCAAATTGTTCAATTTCGTCCATTTTGCTATTCATTTCACTGTTGGAAAGTGTGTCTAAATAACTGTGCATACTTGTCATGATGTTCCTCATTTCGGATGACGTGGGAACAGAAGCTGCATTATTCATTTCATTTTCGTCGTCGAAATTTGCATCAATGATATTTTTTTAGCTTTGAACGAACTCCAAAATGTCTTTGTCTGCCATAATTGGAGCTGTACACACATTATCATCAACTGCTGCAATGAATTCTTCTGATAATACAGTAGGACAGTACAATAGTACAGAATCTTTCTCAAACATTTCATTAAGTGCTGGCTCAGTTTCAATATCCTCCTTCTCCATATCTTTTGGCGCCAAAGAATCTGAAACTTTTGAGAATTGTGCATGGCAAAAACAATTTTCATTCATTCTTGTAGTCACTGAATTCCATGCAGAGTGCAACATATGAACCAAACTCACAGATTTTTACTTGAACTGCGATGTACTCATCAAATTCCAAAGCTAACTGATGAAAGATGAGATGTTTGTAGGGAAGGAAGGTGAAAGTAGCTTAGATAAATAAAACTGGCTCGTGTCGCAGGCTATTCCGAGGATATTTCAAAGCCAAGTTAGCCTCCTTTCTACAAAACATGTGAACCATTTCTCTTTGATTTCACACATCCCTCTTAAATGTCACCTGCGAGGCCGGTGTTTTCCATATTTTGTTCATTCCCAGAGAGGATATCTTTTTGTGTTAAGTGATTTTTGTTTCGTTTTAAGAGAAACAAAATGCATGAAAATATATAGTAGTTCATCGGAACTGATGTATTATTTTATGTTAACTGATATTTCGTCTTAAGCGTTTTCACGTTAAGCATATTTCACTGTATATATTATGTGATCCAGGGCTACCAAAGGAAAATTGCATATTTCCGTGCATTGCGAATGGAAAGAAAAATCGTTCTTTTAAATTACATTGGATTAAATAATTTCCATGGGTATCCTACATTCATAAATTAGGTGGTGGTTTTTATAAACCGTGTGTGTTGTTTGAGGTCGACTGATTGAGGTCTAAATCTGTGTAAATTTAGAAAATTGGTAACTACACTATTATCTATATATAAAGCTGCTGAAAAAGATTTTAGAGCACATGAAAAAAACGGCTGTCATAAAAACAATGTAATTAAGTTTCAGATTATCGTTAAGGGTAAAAAAAAGTAAATATTGATGTGGCACTAGATAGTGCTAAACAAAGAAGAATTGAAAGTAACAGACAAAAATTAACACCAATAATCAAAACTATAATATTTTGGGGTGTGCAAAATATTCCTTTAAGAGATCATTGGAATGATATATCTATCTTTTTAAAATGACAGTGATGGTGATGAAACCATAATTAATTAAGGAAAGTTTAAGGCTTTGTTGAAGTTTCGGGCGGATGCAAGAGATAAGATTGTTGAAGAGCTTTTGCGGACAGCCAATCATAATTCTACTTTTATTACTAAAACAACGCAAAACAAACTGATTCAGTCCTCTGGTGAAATTAATCAAAACGGAATTTTAGAAAAAGTAAAAGCTTCACACTACTACAGTGTGCTGGCGGGGTAGACATTGCTATTGCGAGCAGCTATCATTTTGTATTTGGTATTTTTACCAAGAGACGGGTGTCATCAACAAAGGTTTCCTCGGATTCACAAAAGTAACAGATTTAAGAGGTGAAAATTTTGCAAACATTACAAAAATACTGAAAGGCACTGAAAGATAATAAAAATACTGGATACTGCATTCCTACGTAGACAGGTCACTCATCGCGCTAATCATAGGCTGAACTTAGCTCCTTTTCCATATGGGCTCATGAGATCTACTTATGCCACTCATGGTGATTCATAAGGTTGAAACTATTTTGATAAAAAGATATGTTCCATATTTTGAAAAGCTATGCAATTGAATCACTTGTTCTGGATTAATACTTAAATAAATCAGATATCCTCTTGTGTCAAACATGCAGCTTCTTGTTAAATATTTATAGTAAGTTTCTGATTAACCAGAAGAGTAAACTTTATGATACAACATTAAATTTAAGATAATGATACTGGCATGAGATTCAGCCTGCTGGTTTTAACCTATGTGAATACTTTTATATATAAATGCGTGCGTATGCCGCATCTGAAATATAAATATGCTGTTTTTATATGCTGTAGCACTCTGCAACTGACCAGCTGCTAAATAGAAATCGAAGTAAAATTACTTTGTATTATCATGGACCTGCACCTCTAAACAGTCTAAAGCATCTGGAACAAAATGTATTGATTCAGCAGCAACACTGTGGAGGAAATCCTGTGGTAGTGTATAAAGGAACTGTTTCTCCTAATGGTAAGATTCTTTTTAAACTGCCTTCAAATCTACATTTATAATTATTTTCGCATTTGACCCATCACAAATCTTTTTTGATGTCTGAATATGATGAGCTGTGTTCCTTTTAAATTCACTGCTTCTGTTAATATTTTCATTTTTATACTTTTGCTTTAATGAGCTTTATATTAAATTCATATAATATTTTCATGCTAGCCTTAAAAATGCATTTTACAAAGGTAGGGAGCAAAGTGGCAGTGAAATAATGCTATTAAGAACAATTTGAAAGAAGAGTATTTTTTTCCCTTTCACCAAGAAAAAATATAAACATTTCCATTACTTGGTCTAATTCCATCAGCTAGGTCCTCTAAATTAAAACAAAACAAATATCTGAATTTTTGAAGACTTTCTATTATAAAAGAGGTGAAATTTTATTAAAATCTGCATGCTATAGTTTCATGATAAAGGAAGATTTAAATTAAATATTATGGGTGATTCGAATTTAATATTAGAATATTAATAACGGGGAAAATGGTCATATAATTTAAGAATCGAAATGTTAGAAATTGGAATGTTTTAAAAATCAGCACAGTCATACGGAATAAATATCACCGTTGCCTACTTCTGATTTGAAATTTTCTTAAAAGTACATGCAAATTATGGAAACGGTCTGATTTCTGCAAAACATGATGGTTTTGTTAAATAAAATTTGATTTTTTTTTCCAAGGTAGTCGCAGAGGAAACTAATTTTGGAATATAAAACCGAGAGCCATTTCTTTGCACTCACTATGGCAAATATTTAAGTTAAAAAAATCTGATATGTACACCACATGACTACCTTGTGTGGAATATTAAAGTATACGCATTTTTTCTTGCATTTCATTTAAACTTATTGGATTTAATTAAATCTACTCCGTCGATAGTGCATAAACTACAATAGAATAAATGTACTCTTTAAAATCCACTATATTCGTTTACCACAGCGACACTCTGGCGCTAGGTTCACTGAACAGCGTTATATTTCGTTCACATTATAACTCAAAAGGCACAAAATTTATACCATTTGAAGAATTATCTAATCGTTGCCACATGTTCTATTCAAATACTATAATAAATCTAGAATGATGTATAAAAAGAAATTAAGCAAACAAAACAAAAAAGAAACAGTTTTTCACAGACGATTCAGTATTTCTCATTCAGTTCTCATTTCACGACAAGGTAAAAATACATAAAAACTCAAAATATCTATATTAAAAATTACGAAGTAAATCTTAAACACTTATTTTCTCGAAAAAATTCCAGAAAGATTAAGCATGATTTAATTTGTGATAATAAATGAAGGCGTTATCTTTCTTGTTGCGAAGCTTAGTCTCTCTAGCTTGGCAACAAATCTACTATTCTGCTGTTTTAAATGTAAACAAATATGTCCGTCATGTTATTTAAAAATTAGGCTTAACCGCACTTAAACAGCTTTTAAATTGTTGATAATTGTACATATATTGTTTGCAAATTTACTAAAGGCATAAAAACCTAAATCGGAAGATAAGAACAACATAATTCAATCACTTTTAAAGGAAAAATTGCACAATTTACAATAAGAGCAAAGAAACTGAGATTTACATATAAGAGCAAAGAAACTGAGATCACTGAGCCGGGTAACAGAGTGGATATATATATAAATATATTTATATATACGTTTCGTGCGGCCGATTGCAACCAAAATATGAGGTGCACATCTACATGTTATAGCGGTCCTATATACAAAATTTCAAAGTTCTGAGGCTACTCGTTTTTGAATTATGCAAGATACGTACAGACGCCACGAAAAATTCTCTTCAGAATTCATTTTAAAGCAGTTTTATAATTTTTTTGGAGCAAAAGAGTCTTTTATTCTGTCCTTACGTACAGAGGTCGCGCAAAATTTTCGTTAAATTGCATTCGATAGCGGTCAAAATGGATATTTTTCGTTGAAATATGCTGCCTGAAACTTTTTTCGATTACAATGCTTCTTTTTTTCTTCGTATAAGGAAGTAAAAAATGAAGATGTATTAAAAAAAGGGTTTATAATAGTTATTACACACCCAAACTCTGAGATCGAACATCTGAAAATCACTAAGATTTTAAATGTTGTTATAGTTTAAAGAAAAGAATCACAAATAATGGTTATTCAAAAATTATTTTAATGATTTATCATTGTATAAAAATTTAAGTAACTTCAGCAGACATCTTAAATAAATTCTAAAATTAAATAACATCTCCAGCTTTAAGAAGTAAAATAAATTATATTTCATGAGCGACCATATTTTTAACTTTTTTCTTATTCTTATAAATTAATACATATTATATGAAATTAGAAACGTTATTGTTTTTTTTTTCTGTTATTAAGTGTTATAAATTATTTGTGTTCTTTTGGAGAAAATTCGTGATATGTATTATTCGGGGTTTCCCCTCCTCCCGTTGTTGTTGGGTGGTAGGGTGGGTTTTTTTCGGGGGGTTGACGACTTCTAGAAACATCCAAATTTGAAAAACAACATATAGAACGTTTTAATGTCTATAAAAATTTTGAATTCAGTTTGCTCATTTAAAGTAACTAATCAAATTAATCTAAATTCTACAACGTCACATATGTAATATAGGTGATGTTTTCCCCAATCAAATTTTACTTTTTTTATTCCTAGATTCTTCATATGATAAATAACCAGTAGATGAAGCTGTTTTCATATACACTCATGTCCATAAATTAAGGATAATGCAAAATCAGGCAAAGGAAGAGTTAGAAGCAAAACAAATTTGACTTATTTGTAAAGCTTATTTATTAAACAAAAGGTAAAGAGCAAAAAAAGATGCTATATGTTTGATATTATTAAAAAAATTAGCGATTTTTTCTCCCTGGAGCAAATTACAAAAAAACACTATTTATAAAAAACCAATATTACATTTATTGGTATGATTGTTAATACATTGTATGTCTCCCAGACGATGCAATACAGTCCATACAACGCCTAGGCATGCTGAGTATCAAATTATCGATCTGATCTTGGGGGATATTACACCACTCAAAAAAGCAAGGCTCTCCAAAGTTCCGATAGACATGTAGGAGGAGGTTGACGGGCTGCAACTCGTCGGCCAAGCATGTCCCAGACATGCTCTACTGGATTCAAGTCCGGTGACAATGCTAGATTCAAGTCCAGTGACATATGAAAGTCCTGCGAGAATCAGACTGCAAGCTAAACCTAGACTTGTCAGAAAACATCACACAAGCCCACTGTTGCAGTGTCCACAATGCATGCTCTCTACTCTAGGCTAACCGCAGGCGACAGTGAGTTGCAGTAAGTGGAACGCATCTACGAGCATATAGACCAATCTGCCCTAAGCGTCTGTACACGGTCTGCCTTGAAATTGTCGTACCATTGGCTAAAGAGAGCTGACGAGACAGGTCTGAGGCTGTGCTCCGCCTGTTTCTTTTGGCAGTAACTGCCAAATACCGGTCCTCATTTGGCGTTGTAACTCTGGGGCGACCTGTGCTGTAACGTCTACTCAAATTACCATCATCTTGGAATCGTTGCCAAAGCCTGGAGATGACATTCTGGGCAATTCAGTGTTCGTCTGATACTTCCAGTTGGGTATGCCCACATTCCAGACGGCCGATAATTCTATCACGTAAAAATCATCCAAATGCCTCCTTTGTGTCATAACTATTCGGTTATTGCACTGAAATGCTTATAAAGCGCCTGCGAACAGTTTTACTTCTTTTCCTGTATTCCTTATATATCACTCTCTTACACTCTTGTCATTGTGACGTACCATCGGTGTCATCTGGTTACTTCCTGAAATTTGCATATGATTCTTGAAGATGAGTGTGGTGATTTTACAGGTGATATATTTATTTTATCCTTAATTTATGGACATGAGTGTTATATGATAACATTATAGTGCTTTTGTGCTGCATATGTGAAGTATGATTAAGTCTTTTGTGTTTTAAAGGAAGGTATTAATTGGTATTTTAGTAATTTATTTTTGATGATATAATAAGTCTTTTTTAATATTCTTTAATCATCTTTTTATAGAAAGTCTGACTTTTACTTCAGTGCTCCATGAAGGTTTTCCATTCAGTATAACAATATTTCTTGATGGAATACGAGATTTAAAACTGAGCTCTTGCTGTGTTTTTCGTTATCTTCCAAACAGACGTTTAGGTGGTTCAAGTGGCAGCTTTTCTATTCAGAATGTTGAGGGAGGAAAACCTTGTATGAAGTTAGTATAACTCTGCTTTTTAATATTTCTCCTTTTATCTAAATGCACATGTTAAATTGATTTTTAACTTGCTGACAAACTGCAGAATATTTCATGAATTCAGTATTTTACAAACTGCAGAAAAGGGGGGGAAAACAAAACATCAAACTTTGTCTTTCCTTCTCCAATTAGTGGAGAATAAATTCTTTTCTAATAATTTATAAATAACTATTGTCTAGATATTCTTAAATATGCATGTGAATATATATATATATATACACATATATATTATTAGAAAAGGTTTCTTATATATCATCTCCAATGAACAGAAATTTAATTAAAGCAATGAATTATTAGAATAAATTTTAGTCAGTATTTTAAGTATAAGTTATTTAGATTTACACTATAGTAAAAATTTTTAAAAACTATAAAGAAATAATAGTTTGAACCATAAAAATTCTAAAAAGTAAAATATAAAGTACTGAAATGGTAGCTATTGTCATTGACCATAGGTTAATTCACTTGTCAAGGGGAACAAACCAATCCACTATCAATTAACGATAACTGTTACAGTTTATGTAGCTGGCCACGATAGGGTGCAGCTTTTTTATTTTTAGGTTGTTATATTTTTCTTACCGTATTGCGGATTTTGATATAGATGTAGTGGCAACCAGAGAAACACGATGAACGTTCTGTAAGCATACAATTTTTGTAAATAACATTAAATGAAGTTTCTGTGTGAAAACCAAAAATGGAAAAGAATTCCAAGCGTTCCTGTGGATATTCATCAAGAAAGGTAAGCAAAAAATCATTTATCAAGTGTTGTTGAATGTAAAAAATAAGAATAAGATAATACAAATAAGAAAAAAGATCATAAATTGCAACAATAACCAAACTAAGTGAGAGTGTTTCATTATTTTTCCAAGTAAGGATCAAATTAGTAATTTTGCTAGAGTTAAATCATCTACGAACAAAACTTAAAAATTGAAAGATATTAGTCTGCTTAAACCAAGACTCAACATAAACAAAAACGAAAATAAAAATTAGTAAGAAATTCTTAATTTAAGGTACTTTTTAAGAACAAAATTCAGCTAGGAAAACGAGATCCTCACTTTAGAAAAAACATTTCCCAATACTCTCACAGTATTGAAGAAACAATAAAAAAACTGCTAAAACCTGTACAAATTTAGTACAGTCAAAAGTCGTTAATTCGGACTCGTCGGGACTTCGGCGATTCCGGATTATCGATTTTTCCGGATTATAGATCATCAGTTTAAATCTCGTAAGATGGCATGCAAAAATTCTAAAATTAAAAATATGAAACCGTAATTTATGAAATAAAGAACAATTATGATCTAAAGGGTATCAAAATTTACAAAAAAAAAAAAAAGCTTAATACTTATTTGTTTACTTTATTAATCATTTCTTTCCATGTAAGTTGTTTAAGTTGCTTCGTTTTATGTGATAATACTTTCTCTTTAATTCTATAAACAGACATAATTTCTTGTTCAGTTACAAAGTTCCGCTGTTCAAGTCCCGTTAATTGCTGCGCCGAGAATACCGACTAACTTGTCAATCGAAATTTTTTCGTTTTCACTAACCTCTCTGTCACATTCTTCATGTCTTTATCCGTTTTTTGCAGCAATTCCACTTTTTGTTTGTTGGACATCGAAACATACTTTGGCTTTGTACGATCCTTTGGGAGCTCCAGTGTCGGAAATTCTATTTGACATATGACAAATATGTCGGGTTTTAATGAAAGTTTCCAACCATCGCAAATATCATCTGCGCAAGCAGTTCGCGTTGACGTGTTTAATCATATTTTGTCAGACAATTTTTGGCATTTGAAAGAAAGAGACTTGCTTTAGAACACTGTGTGGCGAAATTTGTAAAATAAATATCGTTATCATTAAGTACAAGGTGTTTGAAATGGAACTATCACGCTACCAGATTAGAACCATCATTTGCTTCCAGTTCTGTTGTAAGTCAGCTACAGAATGTCATCAAATCATGTGTACAGCTTTAGGTACTAATGCTGTATCATATGGCACTGTGAAGGTTTGGTACCGAAAGTTCAAAAACAAGGACTATGACATTCAAGAAGCAGAGCGCTCTGGCCGTCTTACTGATGTTGATGAGGCTCGCCAGTAAGAACTTGTGGAAGAAGATCAGTATGCAATCACTCGAGAGATTGCTAAGGAGTTAGACTTTAGTGCCATACCCATTAATCGCGCTGTGCATCCCATAAACTTGACTTACAAGCTCAATCTCTGGGTGTCGCATGAGCTGACTCAAGCAGATAAGGACAGACGTTTTCGGGCCTGCAGTAATCTGCTTGAATATCAACGCAAGGACAAAATTCTGAACCACATCGTCACTTGGGGTGAAAAGTGGATTTACTTCAACATTACAGGACGAAAAGGGGGTTGGTCTGCGCCCGGTGAGCTCGTCGGCAGCGTCGCAAAGAGCAATTTGACTAACAAAAATATTGTTTGTATCTGGTGGGATATCCTTGGTATTATCTACAAAGAGTGTCAGGAAAAAACTAAAACCCTCGACAATAAGGTTGTAGGGTTTATATTTATTTTAAATAACATTTATTTTAAGCTGCCCACCAGCGGCCGAGCGGTAAAGTCGCTGAACACTGGTAGTTCGGTCCGAGGTTCGAATCCCGCGAACGGGCTGGCTGCATGGGTGTTTCCGTGGTTTTCCCCATGTGTAACGTGTATACGAGCCAGTTTCCCTTAGAAAGTCCTCCACGAAGTCATCCCTCCTCTTATGCAGATAGCCCTAGTGTGCTTTGCCATAATTAAATACACCATTAATTTAAGTTTAAGCTATCTTTCCTGTCAAGCCTTTACTTTCCCCTAGAATTGCCAATGCCAGAGTATGTAAATTGTAGTTGAACGCGCAGTATATTCAAATTTTAGCAGAAGTAAGTTGAGTTTAAATAGAAGGGAAACGAGATTGTATGTGTGCTTCTTGAATCGCGAACGTGAAGGTTGCTAGGTAGAAATTTAAGAACCGCGCGTTTCGGCCTGTGTGCCTATCTCGGCAGTTCGCTGAATTTTTCAACTGCTTAATCAGTAAGCTCGCTGAATCTCAGCTGTATCTTAGAACGCGGTTAAGTTAGTTACGATTTCAGAGCCTCGTAGGTAGTGATCTCGTTATTTATTCATCCTGTCATTAATTTTTAGTTTCACATTTCAGTTTTTGTTAAACCGCCGGGTCGGCGTAGTTTGTGAGCGTCAAGGGAACGCAGCTGCTATTTCTAAAGTGGAATAAAAAGGGCTTTAAAACCCTTCCTACGTGTTTGTGTAACTTTACAGTTCATAGCAGTCACTACCATAGTTGCTGACAAGTTGGGCCCATCACAACACTACAAGGTGTACAGAGAGATGCTTATCGGTGTTGACGCTGCCATCAGCGAAAAACGAAGTATGTTCCGGCGCAAAAAGGTAATGTTCCATCAAGATAATGCAAGACCACATGTGTCTTCAGTCACCGGCTGGATTCTGTATGGACTCGAATGGGATTTTTTGCCACACCCCCCTTATATAGCCCCTACATCACTCCTTCGGAAGTCTACCTTTTTTCACACCTGCAGCTACATCTTGCTAGTGCTATCTTCTATTCTGCATGGAACGTCCAAAATGAGGTTGATGTGTTTTTAGATTCTCGGCCACCAAGTTTCTGAGCCGAAGGCTTTGAAAACTCCAAAAACGTTGGTAGAAAATCATTGATTTGGGTGATGATTACTACCTGCATTAAAGGTACTGCTTTCATGTTTTTTTACGAACTTTTTTGAGAAAATTTTTTGGAGGAAAACTTTCGTTACAACCAGATGTATGCTTATTATGCAACAAAAGGGTAGCAATTTCAAACAAAAGTAACCTTGACAGGCATTTTGAAACGTCGCATCCGAAATTTGACTTAAAGTATCCTGAACTTTTGAACTTCGAACAAATAATATTTTATTATTAAATTCATGGATTTCAAAGCAACAATCTACTTTTACAAACTGCTGGAAACATCAAAGGTAACATTCGCATCGATTAAAGTTTTTCATATACTTGCTAAGAAAAAAAGGCCACATATGGATGGATCTATAATAAAAAAAAGCAGTGTTGGAATCTGCAGACATACTTTTTGAGGATTTTAAAAACAAAAAAGAATTGTTTCAGCTATAAATCCCATGCAGTTATCAGCTTGAACTGTTACAAGGAGAACTGAAACAATTGCAGGCCACTTAGAAACCCAATTGATAAAAGATTAAACAAATGTGGATTATTTCCTTACGACTGCACTTACAGCACAACTGGCAATAAGTGTTGATTTTCCCCGTTAAATTGTATGTGATATATCTAACTTCGAACCTAAAATTTCTGAAGAACACAAAATCTTGTCTGAAACTTAACATCATAAACGAAAACTTAACATCATAAACGAAAACTTAACATCATAAACGAAAACTTAACATCTTAGGTGGAAACATTCAACATTTCCAGGCAATGCTTTAAACTGTCAGCTATTCCGGCACGGTGAAGAACACTTTCTTTAAAAGGACAAAATCCATCTGGCCCTTTCGGCATATATCTCCATTTTAGTTTCGCTGGATTCAGACTTCAGCTCCTACGTGTTTTGGACTTAAACGGCCGGACTGGAACTGAAACAGGACCGGATCAGGATTGGATCAGGACTGGAACCGCAACAAGACGGGAACCGGAACAAGACTGGAACCGGAACAGGTCGGGGACTGGAAACTATCATCCCCTGGCTTCTCCCCCGGGCAGGTCTACTCTGGCTCGAACTGAAAATGAACTGCGCCGCTACCAAGGAAAGCACCTCCTTTTATTGACGGCGGTTGCCGTTACTACAGGCGATTATGCAAAATATTTAACATCTTTCCACCTAAGGGGGAAAAAAAAGCGAACTTTCACAACAAAGTAAAACAATGCTAAAGAGCCTTAATATGCCAATCTGTCTGGCGAAGTTACAGTTCTACTAGATCGTGTTACAGG